AATCTTCTCTTTCTCATTCCCCTACCCTCACTGGAATATGAAATTTTAGAATATCCTGGAGTATAACATCATAAGATCAGCCCTGGTCTCAATCTCTTCATTAATCAACAAGCACTAATTAAATGGTGCTTTCTTGTGTGACAGGTGAGGTGCTAAACTCTGCTTGGCTTACATTGAAGGACAGAATCCTTTTCTAGACAATTTTTTCCACACTTGAACCTATTTTGTACTTTTCCCTCTTGGCCTAAAATCCCTTTCTTACAATTAATTCTATGTACTTACATTGGCTATTTTAGACGCTTTTAATTATTTCAATGTGATTAAAGGGTCTTTCTAATCAGCTAAAATAATTGAGGTTGTTTATTTTGGAAGTGAGAGAGTTAAGATAAATGATAGCAGTGAACTATGAGAAATGATTCATTGATTCATTCAGCTTATATTAACTGAGCCCTGACTATATGAATTGCACTGCGCTGGAAGCTGGGGAAATTCAGAAAAGATAACTCATAAGTGTCAAATTACTTTTACAAACAAGCACTCTGGAGGAGGAGGATTGTTGAGGTGGGAAATTAGATGGGTATTGAAGGGTGGGTATTGCCTAAATGAGGAAATGGGTGAGGGTATTCCAGTTAGGGACAGGAGCATGCACAAAGTCACACAGACAAGAATGAGTGAGGACTCTTCGAGGGAACAGAGTAAATCAGTTTATCAAAAATGGAGGGATTGTGAGAAGGAAGAGTGGGAGATGCAGGGCATATTGTGGAGGACCCTGAATTCCAAGCTAATGTTTGGACTTTTAGATTAAGTCATGGAATAGTCGTATGCTTTTGAGGGAGTAAATTACTTGATAAATGCGATCCTTGGGGCAAAGAAAAGTAGTGAGGCCCAGAGAGAGCTACCTATGGATTCAGGATCATCTGAGATCAAGATCTACTTCTGAGACATATTTGTAGTGGGACAACAAACAAGTAATTTAACCTCTCAGTGCACCCAAGCAATTCTTAAGATTGTGAATTACAGAAAAAGTTCCAGGCATTGGAGGGAGTTGAATCACAAGTCAGCAGTGCCTTGGGGGAGGGGCAGGAGAAAAAGGGGAAGGGACAAGCTCAGCCACAAAGCTATGCAGAATGATTGGATTAGGAGGAGATAGCAGACCAATTAGAATCCTACTATCATAGCCTAGACATGAAGTACCAAGTGACTGGAATTGGGAGGTAGCTATGGCAAGGAAATGAGGAGGCAGTAATGTGGCATTTGGGTGGCACAGTGAGGGTGGGACCTTGAGTCAGGAAGTCATGAGTTCAAATTCAGCCATGATACTTACTAGCTGTGTGACCTGGGTAAGTTACTTGACCCTTGTTTGCCTCAGTTTCCTCATCTATCAAATGGGAATAATAATAGCAGCTACCTCCCAGGGTTGTTGTGAGGATCAGATGAGATTAAAAACTGTAAAGCACTAAGCACAGTGCTAGGCACATAGTAGGCACTCTATAAATGTTAGCTATTATTATATCTTGCCTGAGACACTTACTAGCTGTGTGACCGTAGGCAAGTCACTTAATTCCTGTTTGTTTGCCAAAATTTCCTTGGTGAAAGGAGGATAATAATAGCACCTACTACTTCCCAGGGTTATTGTGAGGATGAAATGAAATAATAAAAGCAGTTAGCATGATGCCTGGCACACAGTAAGCACTGCATAAATACGGTTATTATTATTAATAATAATGTTAATTAGTATACATTGAAAGAAGAATCAAGAAGAATTAGAAACCAATTCAGTATTAAGGTGGGGTTGGGGGGTGCGAGAAAGGCAAGGAGAAATCAAACATGGCCCTGGTTTCAGGTACCATTGATCTCTATAGAGAGCTGGGAGGGGGACTGGTCTTTAGGCATATAAATGTGAGATGTGAACAAGACTAGTAGAAAGTATTGGAGATTCTGAAATGGAGTCCAGGAGAGGAGAACTGTAGATAAGATTCCTGCTGTCTACATAAAAACAATTATAACTGCACTCAACAACTTTGATTTTAAAAGCATTTCAGTGTTTGAGAAGTACTTTTCCTGAAACAGTCCCAAGAAGTAGGAAGTATTAGTCTTGTTTTCCCTAAACTGAAGCCATGGAAGGAGAGGAGGAACTCCATAAAGGAGGGAAAGTATAAGAAGAGTGCAGGGTTCAGGGTACAGGCCTGTGGGGACCAGCAGCCCCAGTGAGGAGTTTAGAGGGAAGAGAGTGATGTGGTTTAGGGGTTCAGGGTCCTGATGAAGAGGTCTAGAGGTTTTGAAGGTCTGCCTGGAACCACCGAAATTGCAACGGGCCGGGCCCTGCCTGAATGAATTCAACTCAAATCTTCCTCCAGCCAGAGGAAAAGTTTATTAGTGATAAAACACTTAGGCCAGGTGATGCCAGTAAGGATGAGGGGGCATGAGAAAGTCTCAGCCTTTTGGGCATGAGATTCTCAGCATCTGAATGGGGCCAGGGTGGAATTTTTATACACTGAAGTAACTTTGGGTGGCCAGAGAAGGGGGCTAGGAAAAGGGTCTAGGTAAGAATTCTACTTGGGGAGGTCTGAGGGATTGAATAGACAGTGGGAATAGCTAATGGAGGGAACTGGAAGGCATCTGAGTAAGGCCAAAAGGTGGGGCTAAGGCTTTCAAAGGGAGATAAGAAGCCAGGATCTGCAGCCAAATGAGAGCCAGATTCCCTTTGGGCCAAAGAGGGGATCTTGGCTTGGGCCCCTGCCCCCATCACTAGGACCCCAAAATCATGACACGCAGGTCCTGTCCAAAAGAATTTGACCAAGCCTTCTTTCAGCAAAAGGTTTATTAGAACATCCATCATATTGGACAGACTCTTAAGGAGTCTGAACATTGGGTAAGCAGGGCTAGATTATAAGAATCTAAACAGTGGCTAGATTATAAGAATCCCAGCAGTGGCTAGATTTTAAGAATCTAAGCATCTTAATGGAGACAAGATGGACCTTATATATAGAAAGACTGTGGGAGAAATCTAGCTAGAGTGGTCAGTAAACTTGGATGAACAGAACTCCTGGACCTGGACAATAGAGTCTACCTAGGATACAATGGAGGGGAGATTGGGTGTAGCCACAATAAAAGGCCAGTTGATGGGATTATAGCCTCAGGCAAACACCAGTGATTTGGCCATGTGGGAAAGTCCAGGATTTTTCCTTTCTGGATCCCAGGTCCCAACCCCATCAGAGAGGAGCCAGAGGAGGAAGGAAGCAGTAGGTAGAGATAATATGGTGCAATGTCCAGACACTAGGGGAGAAGATGAGAAGGTTGGGGGTATCAAATGTAGTAACAAAGTTAAGGGAAATGAGAACTGTGGGAAAAAAAATGTTATTGAGGATAAGACAAATAGATATGGGTTTAAATTGTAGAAAGAAAGATTTGTTAGACATCAAAAGAAAAAAAACTTCCTTTATGTAAAGGCTCTTTAAAAAAAAACTATCATTTAAAGGGAAATTCTGGAAGTTTTAAAGGATAGGGTTGATATAAATTTATAGACGAGTAGAGATTATTATGAGAAAGACTGGTCAGGGAAGGCTTCAAGGGGAATTTGAAAAACTTTGGTGGGAAAGAGATTGTTGGAGAAGACTTTTGAACTTTTGAACTTTAACCAGTACTTAAGGGAGCCATTGAAAGGCTCTAAGGAAGTGAGTGATGTAATGAATCTAAGCAACTAAGGGGTTTAGGTGTTGCTATTTGTCCTTCTTGAAGAGGACCATGACATCAGGGAGGTGATGCCATGACGTGAAAATGAATTGGATTTAAGTGAGGGAGGGCTATGCAAAGTCACTAGCCTCACTTTGGCCTCTGGAGCCATCTGGGTCCAGTGGCCAGATGTAGATCAGGATGACTGGAGATGGCCCTGGAGGCAGTGGGGACCTTGGCTTTTTCAGGCTAGGTCTTCAACAGGTCTCAGTTGGACTGAGACAAGGCCCATTCAGTGATTAAGACTTAATAAGAAATGAAGCACAGAATGGCCTCCTTACCTAATCAAAAAAAAAAAAAAGAAATCAATCAATCAGTCAATCTGTGAGGGGAAGGGTTTCTGGCCAAAAGAGAAACAATTGCTATTTACATAATTCTACATGGAAAAGCGGAAAAAGTTAAAGGATCTAAAGATTTTGTCCTTTCAATAGACTAAATCAGTGTTTATCTTTAAATCACAATGATAAAAACAAGTTGCATTGATATAGTACTTCAAAAAATACATTATTTCATTTGTATTATTTTGCAAAAAAAAAATACGTTATTTCATCCAGTATGACTACTTGATGAAATAAGTAGTAAAAGTGTTATTTTCCTCTTTTTACATATAGGTAAAGTGAGGCTGAGGTCAAGTGATTTATGTAAGGGCATGAAACCAGTAAAGGATAGAGTTGATGCTTAAACCTCTCTGTTTGCCTCTCTGTTGGTATCTTAGGTCAATAATGGAGATTTTTACATGCTTTTTTTTCCCCCAATGGTGGGGAGGAGTCAGAAGGAAGCCTCCATCCCTGGAATTCTATTGAAAATGAAATTACTGAAAATATTATTTAACATTTCTAATTTTTGTTACTAATTCACTTTTTTTTCTTAATTTGATGAAATTTCCAAAGATAAGCTGCAAGTATGATATTTGTGTTTAGTTTGTTGAGCTAATTTATTTACAATTAAATACCACTCATAAACAGCTGTCAAGGTTGAGTTTAATGGATGTCATAGTTCACATTTAGATTATATGTCATTTTACTTTTGACCCGCAGATTCTGTTAACTTCAGAAAGTACATTTTAAAATACATAGAACTATTTTCAAGACTAGTCACTGTAGTGAAACATTTTGGAAATACCCCTAGGGGAATCAGTGTAATTATTTAGGCAGCAAAAATAACTGATAGCACGTCAAGCATGTAAGTAAATGTCTTAATGGAGTTGACCTAATGCCAACAGCACTGTCAGACAGGCTGCTGATGCTTTCCTGTTCCTTTCTATGCAGAGAATTTGGATGGCGAGATCCTGAACTTCCTGAAGTGATCCAGATGCTTCAGCATCAATTCCCTTCTGTGCAGTCGAATGCTGCAGCCTATTTGCAACATCTCTGTTTTGGAGACAATAAAATTAAAGCAGAGGTAAGACTGATGGGATTTTTTTTCCTTTCAGATTAAAGGGGATAGTTAAGATTATATTTTATGAATTTAAATTACTAAGTTCACATATAAGGGTATTTTTAAAGTGAGGTTTTGCCAATATTTATACCCTGCTGTCTCAACTGATTGTGTTTTTTTTTCTTTTGCATGGTTTACTAAGTAAATCAATATAACTAAGAATAACAATGATGTGTTCTATATGACAAATCAGATTTTGATAACTAAGTGCTATGATGCTTTTCACCTCTCCCCCTACTTCTGAGAAACGTGAGGCAGCTAGGTGGTGCAGTGGTTAGAGCACTGGGTCTTCAGTTAGTATGATGTGAGTTCAAGTTCCTCCCCAGACACTTCCTTAGACACTCAGACTTCCTCAGAAACTCAGGTATATGACCCTTGGCAAGTACTTAACCTCTGTCTGCTTTAGTTTCCTCAACTGTGAAATGGGGTAATAATAGCCTTACTTCACAGAGTTGTTGTAAGGATCAAATGAGATATTTGTAAAGCACTTAGCACAGTGCCTGAAACATACTAGGTACTTAATAAATGCACATTTCCTTCCCCTTCCCCTTCTTTATGATCATTTTTTTGGTCCAAGAAGAATGGGAACTTGGGGTAATTACTCACCTATCTGTACTCTAGATAAATACTTTGGACATGATGTCCAAAGACTTTGGTGAACAGAGCAATGATTTCTCTATTAAGGAATCTTTTTTGTAATTATAATGTAAATCATTTCAGACTGCCCAGTTGTTCTTTGGCAATATGTCCAATAGGCAACATTATATTTGAAAATTGGCTCTGTTAACACTCTTTGCAAATGGCAAGACTTTTGCAAACAAAAAGATCAGTAAAAAAAATTTTTTTCTCTCCATTTTAGAAAGATTCTGAATACTATAATACATAAGCTGTTTTGAGTATAAATCCAAATTATTTTGGGAATGAAGATATAATTACAGTGTATTATAGATTTTGCTAACAAGTGCTAGATTGTATATAATCTTGCTTCTTTTCATCTTTTTGCTGTCTCTGTTCCATTTGGCCTGCAAAAGCATTTTATCTATTCTAATTCATGTTAGGTAAGACATATTCTCTGTACAGGGTAGTAGAAGTTCAGTTTCTTCATACAAAAACTAAATCTACAACTCCAAATCTCTCAATAACCTAAAATACTAAGAAAAGGATAGTTTAGCCCTATTTTAAAGGGTGCTATTTCCTTTTACATCCTAAGTTCACTGATGGAAACCATTATAACTGTTGGCATTAAAGGGACAGATAAAATATTTACTGCAATCATTTAGATTGTGGTAGCTTCCTTTAAAGGTCAAAAAATGCATTGTTTTATTTGATCATTTTTATTTATTGGTGAGCCAGATGTGATTTGATTGTTTGGGGAATTCCATCATAACTGAGAGCCTTTCAGAGTTGCCTCTGGCACTGAAACATTAAGAAGATTATTCGGCCTCAGACACTTGAAATTTACAAGCTGTGTGACCCTGGGCAAGTCACTTAGCCCTGATGGCCTCACCAAAAACAAAAAATCGTTAAGAGGAGTGCCTGTTGTATCAGAGGCAGCACTTGAACCCACCTTTTGTAGGGTTAATCCAGAATTGGTTACCTACTGTTATCCTTTAGATGATGCCTGCTTCTTGAGGAGTCACATCTGAATGGGATACTACAGCACGCAAGGATTAGGGAACAATACTTGTCCTGGATAATATTTCCTATTGATGGTAGCCCTCTGCTCTAGTTGGCCAGCTGCCCGACACGTCAGGGCATGAGACTGGCAGTCCTTTCTGGCTGATTTGGGAGAGGAAATGCAGGGCAGAGGACACACTCTAATCTCCACATTAACAAAAATCACAAGGAAGTGCTAATGAGCTGTGGAATTAGAGAAAGCATTAGAAAAAGAGGAAGTGAATGGCATGAATAATGTACTAACTGAATAATTCAGAGTTTCTTGTAGAAAGAAAGGCCTGTGATAGGTATTGGACACAAACCTATTATGTAGAGACGCAGCATCTTACAGTTACGTTCTCAGAGTCCAAGCCCTGGGTAATTTGTTCTCCCTTTGAGACTGATGGTTGCCTGTCATGTTTTCATACATAGGTATTGATTTTCGTAATTACCCATTGTCCAAATACAAATTTCTCAAGCATTATTCTTTCTAGATTTACTCAGCATGCTAGTCTACCTGTCACATCTTATTGAATTGATTTAGTCTCTCGGACTACATTTCATTAGAGGTATTGACTTTGTTCACGCAATGGATAAGCCATTGAGCATCAGACAGAATTAATTTTTCTATAGTTAGGATATCTTAAATCATATTTTTCTTATGCCTTATTAAAGTACTTTTGACATTTAGTTTTCCTATATTGGAGCCAGGAAAGCTGGCATTTTCCTCAAAATTATGCCAGTGATGTTATATTCAAAATTGCAAACATATTTGTGTAAATCATCAGGCTAATGAAGTAATTTTTAGAGAGGACTTAGGTATACTTTACCTGGCCTCACATCTAGGAAGGTCTTATCCATATTACTAATCAAATAATAACAAATTTCTGAGAAAATATTAGTTGGTATCCTCTCAAGACCCATTTTTGTTCACAGGTTTTGTTGTTGTTGTTGTTGTTGTTTTCTGACTTTTCTTAAACAAAAGAGGTGTTGAAGAACAAGGAGTCTCTAAAGTCTTAGTGTAGTTTTAAGATGTAATACCTTCAGAAGTTTGAATGCTACCAATTAAAAAAGTTTTAAAGTATAATTATATAAATTTATTTTTTTTACTTATTTAGTATTGTGAGTTTTGAATAATAAAATTTTAAATTTACTAACTAGACAAGGACACCTTGTAATCTTGCATTATGTGTAAGAGAGTTTCCTTCTGACACTTTTTCAAACCACTGCAAAGACAGAGGATGTCCTCTTTGCTTGGCCACCTCTGTCACCAGACTTTTTCGTTTAGCCATGTATGCATCAAAATTTCATTCTTTGAATGATCTTAAAGCTAGAATTACAAATGCAGTCCTGCCAATAACTGCACAGTAGCTAATGAAAGTTTTTACAAAGTTCAAAAATCACCAGGAGTGGTGATTTTGTTGAAATTTATCAATAGTTTAACATTCTAAATTATTTACCTTTTACTTGTTTCTGTAAGTTTGTAGCACTTATACTTCTAAAGTTATTAAAGCTTAAAACTATGCTTTTGGGACTATATACATATATACACATATATCAACTACTCAATCATATATATGTATATATATATATATATATATATATATATATATATATATATATATATATACACATATATAATTTAAAGGTTAAATTACCTCATGGCAGTTTTATACACACACATGTAATATATGGCTCATTGGTTAGTTTTCATGGTTATCTTTTCATTCTTGCTGTTATTCCTTAAAAGGCAACCTTAAGAATATCACACTGAATTTTGATATTCAATAAATAAGCACTGATAGATTCCAGGTTTGAGGGTATTTGTTTTATTATATCATTTTTACTCCTGTTGGCAAGATACACTTGCACACACTGTAACCTTCACAAGTATGGGATTAGTACGTCAGTGGAGGCCTTGCGGAAAGAACACACTGGGGTCAGGAGACATGGGTTCATATGCCACCTTTGATGCTTGGGCTAGATGTCCTCTGAGCCAAATTCTAACACTAGCTCTATCTATGATCCTGTGAATTTGTACAACACATCCTCAGTGGAAATGGTGAACGTTCTTCTGTCCCTTATCTCATACTTGGGAGTACTCCTATTACAGACTGCAACCTGTCAATACCTTCTTGTCCATTTCTTTCTGCAAATGATCAGAGGACTTTCCCTCTGAATACTGGAGGCTTTCCTCTGGCTCTTTTCATATTTCATGGGTATCAGTGTAGCCCATGAGATTAGATCAATAAATTAACTGATAGAGCTCTGTAGTTACAAGGCAATTTTTATGCATGATCTGATTTGACTCTCACAACAACCTGTAAAGGTAAGGTATATATTGATGTATGTTACAGATGAAGAAACAGGCTTATGTAGGTTAAATTGCTTAATGGAAGTCATCCAGCTATAACAGACCTGACCCTAAGGTTCAGTCCCAAGTCTTTTATGTGTAGGCCTAGTGTTGTTTACACTATATTACTGAAATAATTAAGGTAACATATTGTAAGTCCTTCCATTTTAAATGGACTCATTCTATCTTTTTTAATAGGAATATGATCTATCCCTCTTTTAAAAAAATCTCAATTTCTTGTGGAAAGCCACTAGGTGAAAGGGATGGAATTTTGCCATCTCATATATTAATTCAATTTTGCCATAATGAAACATGATAGGCAGCCATCAGCCAGAAAGACAGAAAAAGCTTCAAAGATAACTACATCTTGTTATGTGGAAAATTAGTTTCAACTCTCAAACCCCAAATAATGTTCATTTACTGTAATAGTGTGGAGATATGAAATAAAAAAGGAATTATTACACTTATAGCACATTTCAGAACTCTTATCCCAATTCTGAACTGAACTTTTTGTTCCATTAAATTCTTGTTCTATCTCTTCCCAAATACCTTGGGAAACATATACATACAATATAAAAATATATTCATACACAAACACACACAAACCAGGATTTTTTGTTTTTTAGCTTTTTGTTGTTAACCTCTCAAGTTTGGTGGAACAAACTTTTATGTTCATCATAGAATTATAGACTAAATCAGCTTTTAGAGTTGAATTCAATGATTTTTTAAATCGCTTCCCTACATAGTTATACAAAATGCCATATTCTAAATGTGGTGTTTTATATAATCTTCAATATTTTTTCTATCACTGTGGTGATAGGAAAATGAGGTTCTTTCTCTAGCTTAAAACTATGCTCACCCTCATTTTAATTTTTTTAAATTAAATTTTATTTTATTTTCAGGTTCAATTTTTTTTCTTTCCCTCCTCCCACTCACTGAGAAAACAATAGCAAAA